TGCTACGGGTACTGCCTGTGACACCAAACCTACTGTATCCTGAAGGCACATGTAGCTTGTGCTGCAGCAGAATGAACCCGTTCCCTCAAATTCTTTCTTTTCAAAGGGAGAAAACAAACCACATACTCCTGGATTCACTCTACACAAGGGGAAGTCTCAATTCTAGTTTGTAAAATAAGCCAGAACAGTTTGTAGGTGAGAGGGTGCTAAAGAACATTTATCAGCCCATTAATTCTCTGGAAACAATCCAGGTTCTGAGAACAGCTTTGAAAGTTGCCTTAATTTGCAGGGAGTGCCTTTCCAGTATTTCTAACAAGCGGGAGAAGTTCAACACAAGGCAAAACAAGGGAGAGGTGGACTCATAGTTGACAACATTTGAGTTTTTGATAGGCAGGTAAGAATTTTAATGAAGATGGACATTTAAATTCTATCTGAAAGTCCTCTGGACGAGCGACGTTACAAAACATACTGGGATAATAAAAGCAAACGCTGAACTACCTGATCACGAGGTATGAAATAAAAACTAAAAGAGAATCCAGTGCTAGGCAACAAACTACAGAGTTTGTATCCAAATGAATGATAATGTTAGAACAGTGGAATACAAACCACTGACTTCTGAGTAGAAATGATGAATGATGGGAAGTGCCAGTAGAGCACAGTACAGCAACTAGGGAGACAATTTGAAAAAAAAAACCCAACCACAAAACCAAGCCCCAATCCAACAACATTTCACTGCATACACTAAAATTGATGCTTCTGTCCCATCAGGTAAAGAATGAGAGAGATCGCACCTCAGAGATAAGGTTACACGGATCGTTCTTTGGTTCAAGACAGTTTTAACTGGAGCTGAGAAAACACTAAGTAACACTGAACACAACTGTTTTACAAACTCATTCCCAACAACCTCCAAGTAGTTTGATGTAAAATCAGCAGAACAATCCTTTTGTTTGTTTTAGCCTTTTTTCCCAACATGCAATGCCAAATTACTTGTCACAGTCTTAACACCACCCAATTCATCATTTAGACTCAAACAATGCATGTAGAAATTTCAAGTCCAGCTAGCTTTTTTGAGGAGGGGAGAGGGAGGAAAAAAAGGGAAGGGAAGGGGAAGGG